TGTGGTTTAGGAGCAGGGAACATACATTGTCTGGTTGAAGTAATTGTTGAAGACAGAGACTAATCTTTTTATTAGTGGGGCGTTTTCTGCGATACAGGATTTTACAGCAAAATTCTCCCAATATGTGAACCCCATGGAAAGTTTCATGCTTGATAAACAGTTATTCCCAAGTAGGAAAGTATCCAAATGGGAATTTTTACCTGGTCTAATGATTGCAAATTAGCTGGGATCGGGTTTGCCAAGTCCTAGGAGCCCACTCTTGGCAGCCAGTTCTCAGACTCTCCCTCGCAGCAACAAGTTTGTGGAATCAAGCCCTTTGTTTGGATCAGTGCTCATCCCTTCAGGCAGAGCTGATTGGCTAATTCAATCACACTGGCTATTTAATTAATAAGGAAGCCCAAAATTCCACATGAGATGAAAGGATGAAGAGCCCAGGAATGACCCTTGATAATAATAAAAGATAATTACAACCAAGAATTGCATTATTCAGACTTTGTTATTGACATGATAAGCACTGCCATATGCCACGCAAGCTGTGATATGCACCCTACTGCTCGAGGTGCAGCAAAGCTCTGAGGTGTCACTGTCTGCTGAGTTTCCATGAAAATGTGGCTTCAGGTGAAAAACTGAATACTGCAAAATGGAAAAAAAACCCAACAAAACTTCCCAGCAGTAACGAGGGGAAAGCAGCCTGGCCACTTTGTCACCTGTGCTCAAGTAGAGCAGCAGCACTTGTAAGATTCATTTTTCTGTTTAGAAAAGCCAGGGATCTGAAATACCAGATGCATCTTGAGGGCATCAGGGTGCTGCATGGGGAAGAAACCCCAAACTGCTATATTATTATGCTTATTAAGAAAACTAGGTTCCTTATGGAAAAATGACAGGTGTTTTTGAAGGATCTACTGGGAAGGGGATGGGGAATTACACTGAAGAGCAGATTCCCAAAATATACAATGGAAGCTTTTGCCAGAATGAAAAATTTCCACAGAAATTAGGTCCTATTTTTTTTACAGAATGCAAAGAAATGTCTGCTGATCCCAGCGAAGCAAAATGTAGGGGGTGTCTGAAATACACTGGGCAGGAAGGAAAATAACAAGACTACATCACCTGCAGCACCACTTTCCTCCCAAATCATTATTTCGTGTGCTAGTTCCTAAAGACAACCAAGTTCTTGGGAACTAGAATTAGAAAAGATAAGAGATAAGAGATAAGACACAGGTTTATTTTCTGGCTCCACTTTCCAATCCTTGTGGAGCTGGGGCACACAGAATGTTGCAGTGGGTCCACTTCTGTCTCCTGTGATTTATCTCTTCAGACTATTCCTAACGTAGAGACCACTTCCTCATCTGGGTATAGCATAAAAATTCCCCAATCTGATTAGGGTTTCTCAGTTAAAATTAAAAGTTTTATAAAATCTTCCCCAACCCCTAAAGAGTTCCAGAGTTTTATCGCCCTTTCAAAGTCTGAATCTGAGAAGCAAAACGTATTTGATTTGCAATGAATGTAACCCTTCAGTAAGATCACAGCTGTAATGTTACAGAATCAGTCATGTAAAGAACAGTCACTGGAAGAAAACCTGCCTTCTTTTTTTTTTTTTTCTCTTTAACCTCAATAGAGCAGTTCTTTTGTTAATTACAGTTACTGCACACTGTGATATTGAAGTGCTCTGTTCTCAAACATATTCTTATTTATTTTAGTCCTTTTTTTCCCAGGTAATGAAATGTCAGAACCCTACTTTTTCTGGTTTTGTAGTATGTTGATCAAAGTGACCTTTGCTTTGCGGCAGACACAAATCAATATAGCGCTCTGCGGTATTTGACAGATAAAGGTGCAACATATAATAAATGGCAATCACTGACGAGGAGAGCAAGAAAATACCTGCCAACTTCAGTTCATACCGGCAATTTTCAGACAATGCCACACGTTATGTTCAAAGTAAAATTCATTCGTCCATCTAATAACAGAGGTGGGGGATATTAAAGGACTCAGTTTTGTTAAAGAAATGCTTCAACTCACAGTAATAATTCAGCGTCCAGTCCAGGTCTACAGTGGTTGGTTGCAAGTAAAGTTATTACATTTTGAAGACAGGGTAGAAGAGCAATTTTCCTCACCATAAAGGAAAAGACATACACACACACACACACACACACACACAGAGCCTTTGCCCATGAAATGAAACAGTAATTATATACAGCCATATAAATACAGTCTCTTATTCTTTCTCACACAAAGACACACACAGTCATTGTCTTAATATCCTAAAGCAGCTCTCCAGTGCAGTGTTTCACAGCTGAGTGTTTGATTTTCTCGTATTCTTCGTAACCTGCTGATAATTTATACACAAATGGAACCAATTTCTATTTAAATGCTTAATTGCAAGTAGTGTCTGCAAAGTATCAGCCAGAGTTGAAGTCAAGGAATCATCTATATTTTCTTCTCCTCACAGGAAACTTTTTTATATAATGACTGAAAGGCCCTTTTATTTATCTATTGTTCATAATATACGTAAGTTTCTGAGTTGCATTTAATATTTATTTTCACAAGTGCTTGGCATGAAGCTGTTGACACATTTAGGGCAGAAAAAGGGCAATTCACAACATACCTGTGGCTGTTGAGAGCCATTTGATGTGGTTCAGTGAAGACACAGGTAATTTACGAAGCCCAAGTGTCGATCAGTCCCTGCAAGTGCAGAGTGTGTCTGCTCGTGCCTCACACCTCACCTGTGCAACAAGCGCAGATTCAGGAGCTGTGTTAACTTTTGATTAATATCATCAGGATGGCACCATTTATTAGTACTAATGGTCAAATTCAGTGTTGAAAAAGCCACCTGATCTGAAAGCAGAGCAGCCTGCAGGAAGGGGATTGCAAACACAGGGTCAGTTCAGGGGGTGACCAGAGCACAGTGTCTTGTACCAACATGCAAAATGGAAAGGCCAGTTCCAGGGAATAAGTAAGCAGCCCAAAACATTGTAGGAGTCTCTTTCATCTGCTCCAGATTCTTTTTAATCTAGTGAACCTTTCATCACTTATCCTGGTCTTTTCCAATAAAAATATTATATTAATTACTTATATTTGTCTGCAATAAAAATGAAACTTTCCCTCCTTCTGGTTACTACCATGCCATCATTTTTACTATTTTCTCACACTTACTTTATGTAAATTGAGTTTATCTTTTCTCTATTTTTGACAAGATACTGAGCAGTGAGCAGATGTTTTTTGTCATTTGTCTGCAATAATGCCAGACCTTTTCCTGAGCTGCTGAATGCATGATTAACTTAAAACCGATCTTGTGTATCATTTTTCCTATATCCTGTTGTGTTAAACTGTACCCATCATTACCTGCATCGTGTACCCCAGTTCATGTTAACCCATTCTGAATTTCTCATTCTCAAACCTGTGCAAAGCAGATATTTCTATTATCACTAGACATTTTGCCACATGGTATATTTACTGATATCAGTCACTTAGTGCTGGTCTGTAAGGAGCTATTGATAGCTGACCTCTCCAGCCTGGAAAATGTAGTTATATAGTGCAGCAAAACTTTTTCCTCATAGAACATCCTTGTTATTTCAAATGAAAATGCCATACTAACATATCACAGTCTGGCATGTTGTCAGGTAATTGACAGCTATGAAAAGACCACATTAATTCCCCCCCAAAGTTGCATGCAGGGGTTTCACTGCTGTGAAGTGTGGGTTTAGCAAGGAGAGAGTCTCTAAACGTCATAACCTTGCTGAGAGGGTTGTTACCCCAACTGGCAAATGCTCAACTGTGAGCAACAGATTTATTACCTGACATAATTAATGGCCTAGATAGTGACATTTCCCATATTATAGACAATCATGAATTATGAGCCCAGCTGCTAGCCTTCTCATTCACTGAAATCGGTTGATAAATATGTTTATTCGAGGTCAGCTTGGCCTCATCCATTAGAAATATTGTTTTTCTAAACATTACATTGATTTAATTTAACTCTAATCAATTTAAAATGGTTCTGACAATTAACAAAAGCTTCAAATATGACCTTAAAGTAATAGGATTCATTAGCTATGTTTAGGATTAAACTTATCCTAATAGGGCTATTTTTCTTCTGAGGGCATGTAGTAGGCCGACTGGTGGTCAGTCAAAATGAAATCAATTATTATAAATTATACAGTTTGGGTTGATTATGTCGTGCCTGCTAATTTGTATAAATAAGGACCTCAAACAATAGAAGCCATTTATTAATAACTATCTGTGTCCCAACCTGTATCACACTTTATGCTACAGCTGCAGGATCATCTGTTACCCATGAAGTATTATATTCTCTACTGCTAGGCATATATGCTAATTAAACCCATAATTAATTGTAACAGTTATAGTTAAAGTCAAAATGCTGACAGCCTTTTTGGCCTGTTATTCATGGTAATCAACTGATTCAAAAGGCAAAGTAATCAACGATTCCTGCACTAGCCAGGGGATCACAATACAATGGCAGCACCAGTGACAGCTGGCACCCACGGGTCTCGGGCACAATGGGAAATATAAACCTCTACAGCTGAAATGCCTCGGTATGAGCAGTGCCCATTGTTTTTCTGAGGGAAAACAGGAGTGTAAGTCGTATTTAAGAATTGTCTCCCCAGTGCATTGGTTAACAGAAGGGCACCAGAGCCCCCGAGAGCCCTCCCGGCCTTCGTGGGGCACCGGCAGCTTGGCACCATCCCTCAGGGTCCTCTGCCTGCACCCCTCAGCAAACCCTTCCCCTGCAGCAGGGACAGCTTAGATTAGGGATGAGAATTCTGGAGAGTGTTTTGGAATATCCAGAAGATATTTTCCTGGCTCTGTTCTTGCTGAACTTGTGCCTGCTGGACAGTGGGCAGTGCCCAAAGGTGTGTGCTGTCCCTGGGTGTGTTACACACAGAAAAAGAGAACATCCTCTCAGCCTGAGCAGGGAACATCTCCTTTCCCACTTACATCTGTCTGTGTATCAGCCCTTGAAACAACTTTTATTTTGTTCCTAGGCACCGTGGTGGATTCCAGCAGCCTTGAGAGGACAGGGTGGAGAGAGGAAGGACGAGGGGACAGTCTGACTGTTGTCAGCAGAGATCCACAAACACTCTTCTAAGAGTTGCTCTGGAGAAACTGTTCTGTGTGGGCACAATTTGGGGAGCCTCCAGAGTGACCTGAGCTCTTCAGGAGGCCACCAAGGGCAGGTGAGGGAGTAAAGGCCAAATCAGTGGCCACTTTTAGCAGTGACACTCTGCAGCCCAGTCTGCAGTGCCAGATGGGCCATGTGAACCTGTTGCAGCCACAAGGAACCTGTCCCTGTGCAGGTCTCGCCTCACTTTCCTCCTCAGTTTAAAGCTGGTCTGGTTATCTATCCCTGCATGGGGCCTCTGATCACAATCTTTTCCTGAGCTGTTCCTCCCATGGCCAGGCCTGTTCGTGGCCTGTAGCACTGTAGCACTGCCAGGCCAGCGAGTTTATACACACACATCTTGAGATGTGCTGCTGCTTAAACAAGGTTAGCCAGAGCCTCATTACCAAGATTTACACTGTCAGTTACAGAGATGCCCATCCAATCCTATAACACATAAATTTATGGGCATCACAGCGAATTTTTTATTGTTAGAGCTCATATACAATGTGTGCCCTTAGTGACACATTTTTAAATAAAATATATTGTACTAGTGATTTCTAATGCTTAAAATAAAATAAAATAATAATCAACTTTTAGCTACAGTTTCCCCCTGGTTATTGAGCTGAACTTAATGACTGGCTGAAAAGTATTTGTCAACACAACAGCTGGAGAGCAACACTTTCTTGTGGCTTTATGTCACAGCATATGCCAGCCACTCAGAACATGTGATAATTCAACTGGAGCTGGTACTACAATAGCAGATGGGTTGAAGCATTGTTATTCTCACTCTAGCTCCCAGCCCTTGAGGGATCACTAAATAAAATCAAAGCAGATGGACCATTACAAGCTCATTTGTGTTCACTACAAGCACCTCAACCTCCAGTTGTGATATACTGCACCTTTGTATAAAATGACATGTATGGTAACATGGCCTAATGAAAATAGCATCAGACTTGGCAAGTGAGGAATGAGACTGGGAAATATTCACAGATCTATTTATCACTGAGTTCTTACCTTGCAGAAAGGGTTCATTCCTGTCCCTCTCTCACCACCCCCCTGCCCCAAAGTTTATCATAGTATTTTTCTCCATGTTTATAGTTTAATTTCCTCACACTTGTCACAGGAACTAAGAGGTGGCTGCTGGTTCTGGCTGTAGGAGCCAAGCAGGACTCCCAGTGCATGCAAAGACAGGAAGAGTGCTACTAATCAGGAGTGTAAAGCTCATTCCTACACCCCCTTGATGAATCTGCTAATCCAGGAGGCCCCCAGGGGTCAAGGCTTTAGCACCTACTGGCACCAGTACCTGCAGGGACCAGGACACTCTGTCCATTTCTCAGCAGTTAGTGCCAATTCCCAAGTGGAACCCCTCTCAAATATGAGCTTTTTAGATCTGCATGTATCTTATCCTTTTTCACGCCCAGTTCTAAAAAGCTTCTGTGCCCTACTGCAGACACAGCTGCATTCAGTGCTAAATAGAATATACTGTGAACTTATTCAACGCTTTGAGCATTCTGTTTTTCCCTGTATAAACAAGAACAGTGGGAGTAGACAGTGTTTGGGGAGAGTTAATTACATTCTGTCTCCATGAAAGACCCATATAAGACTATAAAACTTCAGGAAAAGCTCTGTAGATCACCTGACTGCCATAGCTCCCCTCATCCAGCTGCTGCTGGGCTTTAAAGAGCCAAAGAGGTGCAGCAGTGGAAGCCAAAGGAATCACTTCATTTGGGTTGGTAAATACAGTTGAACTTCAGTGACTGCAGCAAGCAGCTGAAAGACTTGTCCAGCTTTTTATGTGAAACAGCCTTTTTCTGAATGTCTGAATTGTCTGAAATGATGAATGGATCAGATAATATTTCTCACCTGACCCAGAAAGTGCAGGGCAGCTGGGCAGTGTCAAGGACAGTGCTGCCAGGGAGAACACTGTGTGCAGCTTTGTTTGTTCTTCCTGAGCACTCTCTGCTCGGTGCAGTGCCTCATCCTAAACTGCAAATTTGTGATACTCTGTCAGAAGCATGTGCAGGTCAGGCCAGGCATCAGCACTGCCCCTTATCTGCTGGCCAGCTTTCCTATCAGCCCAACTAATTTGCTAAGATAATTCTGCTTCCTGCTATCTATTACAATAAATCAACCACTGTAGCTTCATTGAATTCTCTGCCAGCTGATGCCCTTGAAATTCTCAAACTGTATGGGGGGCTGGAGGGAAACCTGTACTCTTCTAAATATATGAAAATTTTAGATGAACATCTTGATAGCCTGGGCAGTGCTGTATCTCCTCAGCCCCACATTAATGGTGTGCCAGAGTCTGCTCAGGTTGAGGCAAACCCCATTGCATCAGTCATTCCTTTGAAAACAAGTTTTTGGAATAATGTGATCTCGGGTGGTAAAGCAAGTTTGTGGGTAAATGCAGACATGGCAAGTGACACTGAGAGATAGAGAACAGGAGCACATGCTCAAGAAAGAGCCAGAGTAAAATGACAAGGGATTCACTGTGGTGGCTGTTGAAGAAAAAAAATAAAGGTGTTCCGTTCTCTGACAATTAATTTTGAAGAGGAAAAAAATGTTGAGGATGGGTGCAAATTGAAGAAACATGAAGCATCCCCACGCATGCCTACTACAGGAACAAGACTTCAGGGGAGAAACTCTGTTCTGCTTTTCCTTACAGCAATATCAAATACTGCGAGTAGCAGTGATACTACATTTCACAGCCATATTTAAAGTTAGAAGATACATCAGTTTATGTCCTACTTGTGTAGTTTTATGTAGTTATTTAATAATGCCAAGTTTTGGGTTTTTTATTTTAAGGGACTTTTATCCCTCATGAAATTTCAGCTTTTTCTTTTAATTATCCAGAAGATCAACACTGGTTTTGTAATGGCTCTGCTGGGATTAAACTCAGCCTGTACCAGCTATGTTGCTGAAGAAAGCCAACTCCTTCCTCAGCAGCGTGGTTGGGTTCATTCAGTCAATCATTTGGCAGAAGGATGTTTAAGCATAATTGCATATCCCCTCCTTGTCTTTAAATATTCAGAGGAAAAGTCACAGAAGAACCGATAATGTAACAATAATAATGGGGCTGAAGAACAGTATTATAGTGTGAACTCATCTATCCCTTGGTTTCATTTACATGTTTAACAGCTGCTTGTTCTTCCACTAGAGAAAGATCATTACCTGACTTGTAAGAAGAGCGGGGGAGTCTGTTCACCTTTGGGCAACTAGCTCTGCATTTATTAATAGTTGCTGCCCATCTCATTATACATTTAATTGTTGCATTATAATTTATTTATTCATTGATTTATTGTAATAGATGAGTAGAAACAAAATTACCTTTGCAAATTACTTTGATAGGTGGGAAGTTTGCATGGTTAAAAACACCCCAACATGCAGTGTGGAATGTGAGATGTTAGCCAGTGAATAAGATCTTCACACATAAGCACCAGCAGAGTCAAACTGGTCTCATTACAAAGTGAAGGTAAATGCAACTAATTTATACACTGATTAAAAAAAATATATAATTGTTGCTTCTGTACAATTGTCCTTACATTCCCACATATCTCTGATTCACAAAACAGGGAATCAGATGAAAAATGAATGAGAAAGAGGATGGAAAGCAAAGACTCATCAAAACTTAGAAAGCTAAAGGTGTAGGAGTTTGCAGAGCACGTGGAAGCCAGGCCTGCCTTGCTGCCAGCGTGGGTGGGCAGCTCCTGTTGGGGCAGCTCAGCCCCACAGCCCCAGCACAGCAGCAGCAACCAAACGGGGCCGTGGAGAGTTGGGCAGAGCCAGACATAGAAAATACACACAAGGAAGTTTTCCATTTCCAGTTGTTTATACATATACATACATGAGTTAAACCCAGAAAAACTCCAATATTTTTTGTTGTCAATTAAATAAAATTAATGATTTGATAAAACTGATTAGTTAATAACAATATTCACTATCAATTTTCTGCATACAAAGATCCATTAGCTGAATTGTCAGTTAGGGCCACAAAATGCAGATTGGCTTTTGGTGGGGTGGTGGTTTTGTTTTTGTCCTTAAAAGCTGGAGCCTGCAGCAGCTCCCAGGGGAGGTGGGACTCATCCAGGGCCGAGCTGGCTGGGAGCAGGTTGCTGTTGGAAAGGCTGGAGGGGAGCCAGGGGCAGAGGGAGGCTGAGCTGCAGCCACAGCAGCAGGCTGGGCTCCCGCGGCTGAGCCTGGCTGCACGGAGCGCCTGGGCTCTCCTCTGGGGCGCTTCACTCCGCACCAGCGTTTAGTGTGAAAAATTATTACTGCTTTCGTGCTCTTGGTACAGCTTTTCATCAGCTTTCAGCAGAGTGCTGCAATTACCCTGAGATACCCCTGGCATTTTGCATCTCCCGATAGCGTCTGCTTTCCTCTCTCCGAGCCAGGCCCCGGGGGGATCCGGCGCTCCACCACGGGCCCAGGGGCGGTGCAGCGAGCCCGGGCCACGCCTGGGGCTCCGGGTCACACTGAGCCCGGGCCACGCCTGGGGCTCCGGGCCACACTGAGCCCGGGCCACGCCTGGGGCTCCGGGTCACACTGAGCCCGGGCTGGGCANCTGCCCCCGTGCGGCCGCAGAGCGGGAGCGGCCCGGCCGCAGCGGCGAGCGGGGACAGCATCATCACCCCACCGCTGATGGAAAGCCCCGCTTCAACAAACAGAGCCTTTACAGCAGCCGTTTCCTACGAATAGCTTCTGCACCGACTTTTACAAGCGTTTAAGGATTTTTAGTAGTTTTAGTAGTTTAGTAGTTATCAGTAAGATAAAAACTTTAAAATTACTTCAATTGACTTAAATAATTCCTTTTGCACGCCCAGGACTTTCCTTATCACTGTTTTATTTATTTGTTATTACTAAAACACTCGGGTAAATAAATAAATAAAAAGGTAAACCTGCAAATGCTGGATAGGAGTTAGTGTTTTTCTAGACATAAAACGCACAGAAAGTGGAAGCTGTGGATTCAGCAGTGAAGCTACAGCGTTATTCCAGGAGGAGCTGCTCACTGGGGTCAGCAAGGTGGTGTACTAAGCATCCTCCAGTACTAAGTTTTCCTCCAGGAAAACTCCAGGTAGCTATAGCCGTTTTCCAGTGATTTTCCCCTTACAGCATCAGGTGCTAATTGGTAAGATACAGGTAGTATTCTTATGAAAAGGATTATTGTAATTCTCTGATTTTATACAGTACAACAATTTCTAAGTTACCTAGACATTCTGAAGGAGTAAAAGAAATTTATAAACATAAATCCTGCTGTAAGCACACAAAACACGGTAGTTCACCCTCTATTCATGCTTTTTCATGACACACATTTCCAAGCCCCAAAGAAACTAATAGAGCCATAAGAATAATATTTTTAATTAATATTAATACAGAAAGAGCACATAGTACATTCCTTTCCAGCAGCAGCTCATTCAGCCCTACCATTAGAAAAAAAAAAAAAAAATTAAGGCTAGTTGAGGGCAACCTCATCCAATGGTTTGTTTCCCTAATGCCTTCTTGGAGACAGCCTTGTAAGCTTAAGAGACTAATTGTGCACAAAACATGGGATGTTTATTTAGCCAAACATCAAGAACAGATAAAAACATGCTTTGTTACAGTGGTAAAAATACACAGAGCTTTCAAGCTGCTTTTTACACCAGCTCAGTTGGGAAACCTCACCAGTCTGGTGTGCAGCACGGTGGTGCCTTGGAATTGTATGGAACAGGCAATTGTCAGGGATCATGGTGACCACGCTCAGCTACTCAGTGGAGCATAAAGTGCACGAGAAAAATAAGTGCATTGAAATGAACCATTTATGATCAAGAGCAATTCTTGTTACACACAGTACTTGCTTAAAATGGGAATCTCACAGGCTGTTCAGTACAACACAGTATTACAATTTTCAAGAGCACAGAATAAGTATCACGTATTATAAAGACCTTTACTAAACATAGATATTTTTGCAATTTTTTCTCCAATTATCTCCCCCACCCAACAACAAGTCTTCTGCTGTAACTTATGGTGGGGTTGGTTGGGGTTTTCTTGAAGAACTTTGTTTGCTTGAGTAAATCTGTAAGGCATCACCTTTAGTTAATACCTCCTCTTTACCCTCTTCAAAATCAGCAAGGATTTAGTGGCACAGTGATTTGTTCCATTTTGAACCACTAGTTCTAAAAATGTTTAGCAAAGCAGGAAAGTTGTATGGGCTGAAGGTTTTTTCCCCAGTTACAAAAGTTTATGTCCTACGAAACTTTACATTTTTACAGGCTGGCAGGAACTGTGTCATCAATGTATTTTCCTACTCACAGGTTAAGGCCATTGTTAGCAGTACTTATGAGCCAAACCATGAAGAATGATCTAAGTGCTATTAATTTGAGAGGACATTTGCCATATTAAAACAAAAAAAAAAAAAGAGAGAAAAGAATTGATTGGGAGGTTTCCAGATGCATTAATTAATATAAATGTTGGGTGCTTAGTCACTGGAATCTTTGGGCATTACAGTTAACAGCAGTAGATGCTTAGAATGCAAGCTTCAAAACAGCTTCTTCAAATCCCCTACAAATATATGCTGAAGGCTAAAAAACACCCAGAAAACCCCACCTTTTTTACCCTTGCATATAAGTTATTCTACAAATTTCCTTTCACAGTGAAATCACTTTTCTGTTTGTATACTCGTTTCTGAGAAAGGAAATAAAATTGGGGTTATTTCTGTAACATTTAATTTACATTGCCAGATCACCTCTAATGCAGTGCAGTACAGCACACAGCAATACATTTTAGATTAAAAGAAGACTCCTTGATTGCCAAAACAAATTTTTTACATGCTATATAAGACATCTCTGCCCTCTTAAGTGGTAAACAACAAACTAACCATGTAATCATACAGTGCTTGCAAAACTATTTACCATTTTGCAATAATCTATAGTACAAAAGGCAGGGTGTAAAGCACTGCCTTTCCAAACACAGTATTTGTCACGAAGAAGTGTGCACAGTAAAGAGCATTCCCTACATGTCCCACAGGAAGAGTCCACATTTCTTTTCCACTGAAAGGCCAGAAGCTTGAAGGCAAGAAGCCAAGTTCATTTACACTTATCTATGTATTAATTCACTTCTGCTAATCAAGTATGTATCCTGAAAAGCTGGATACTTGCCAGTTGTACAAAAGAGTGGCTATTTTGCTACAAATTTACTCACCTAGGAAACTTTAATATGGGTGCCAATTCCAATCCTCTCCTCTGGCCATAGCATGCCCAAGGCCGTTCTCCAAGCTTAGGCAGGAAGAGGTAATTACATGTAATGAGGCTGGGGGGTTTGGAAAGATGGCCCCAGTGGAAGAGATATGAAACGAATGCACTGGGAAAGTCCAAAATAAATCTAGGGCTAGGGAAGAGAAAAAATCCAGACATTCAGACTGGTGTCCTGGGTACAGATTTGTGCTCGGGCCTTGTCTGGTCCTTGTTCAAAGGGGTCATGGCGTGGATCTCCTTCCAGGTTGGGACACAATGGGCCTGGTTATAGAATCCATCACCTAAAACCTACTGAACTTTTTCATGAGAGAAAGTGATCAAGAGCTCTGTACTGAAACAAAGTTTTGCCAAGGAGCACAGCCTGGATAAATAAGGCAAGGGAACATAAAGCCAAGAGACTCTCCCAGGCAAAAGCAACTGTGACACTTCCAATAACCTTGTTGCTTTTGAGAGTGAAAGATTAGAGCACACTTCATGCAAAGGCTAATGGAACAGATCAACCCCCTCAGCACCCCCTGCTTCACACAGATTAATCCTTCAAGCAGTTTTCAAACCTCTCTCTACTACTGCTCT